AGTCAGACTAGTCTGATCTGAAAGCAAAGGCAACACACCCACAAAGGCCACAGCTATCTGGAAATAAAAGGAAGCAAGTAATGGCACAGTGGAGGAAGAGGCCTTGCCACAGCATATGTGGTGTAAGCAAGGAAGAGAGGAGAGAGAATGGACGGGGATAATGTGTGTGAAGATTGTAGGTCTTCAACACACTGAAAGACAGGAAACGTTATGCCCCCCAGGGAGCATTGTCATCATCATCATCATCATCAGTTTTGACAGGGGGTCTCATTACATTGCCCAGGCTGGCTTAGAGCTCACAATCGTCCTGCCTCAGTCTCCCAAGTGCTGAGATTATAGTCATGGGCCATCATGCGCAGTAAAGACTTCTTTAAATAAAATTTGCCCAATGGTTTTAAGGTTTGGCCACTTGTTCTTTTCTTTTTTTTAAAAAAAACAAAACATTTATTTATTTATTTATTTTTATTGAAAAAATTTCTGCCTCCTCCCTGCCTCCCATTTCCCTCTCCCTCCCCCCAACCCATTCCCCCACCCTCTCCAGTCTGAAGAGCAGTCAGGGTTCCCTGCCCTGTGGGAAGTCCAAGGTCCTCCCCCCTCCATCCAGGTCCAGGAAGGTGAGCATCCAAACAGGCTACACATGTTATTTTCATGCAGAATAATGAGAAAGGGCTAGGCCACATTGTACTTTTTATTTATTGATTGATGGACGGCTAGGTTGTTTCTACTTCTGGGCTGCTCTGAGCAATGCTACTACAATCCTTTGTCCCCTAGTTCTGGGTGAATACATACTTTCAGTTCTGGAATGACTGGCTCACCTGGTCATTAACGTTCAAATTTCTCACAGGGTTACACCATTTTATACCACCAGCAACATCCGTGGGTCCTCTTTACTCCCCACCCTCTACGAAGCCATTTTAACTCAGAGTGAACAAATTTGGAATAAAAGTAGTTGTTTGTTTTGTACCACGCACAGCAGAGAGTGACAGCTTTAAGCCTGGTGCCATTCCACCTCACCACAATCACGAGAACAAGTGGGCCACACTGAAATAGCCCCATTTTCAACCTCAGCATCGCAATGGGAGTTTGCTGGACTGAGGTGCAGCCGTAAGCTCAGATGGCAGAGTGCTTACCTAGCATTCTTGAGGCCCTGGGTTTGATTCCTGACACTGAAACGTGTAGTGGTAGCAAATGCCTGTAACCTTAGCACTTGGGAAGTAGATGCAGAAGGATCAGAAGTTCAACACCATTGGGATATATGAGATCCCATTTCAAACACACACAGAGACAGACAGACACAGGCTCATATACACACATACCCCTCCTGAATCCAGAAGGGGCAGGGAGAGGACTGTCCTGTTGCAGCAGTTTTTCTCCTGCAGGGGGAGGTAGTGGGTCCTCAGTCAGGCCCTGCTGCTCTGACCTGCACTTACTTTCCCTCCCAGGAACTTTATCCATTCCAGGACTCACTGATCCCACAGGAAAGCTATAACCTCTCCACACAGTTAAGCTGGATCACACAAGACCAAGTCCTCAAGGAGGAGGCTCACAGCAAAGCCTCTGACAGCCTCGAATCCACCTCACAGTTCCTTGAACTGAGCCATTTCACAGAAGAGCTGAATGAAAACAATGAACCCAGGGGAGCACATTTTCAATAGGACACAGTGGGTAGTGGAAATTCTGAAAACAGCATCCGGATCAGTCAGTGGGAGGCCAGGCTAATCAACTACAGTGCTTTCCCCAAACTCAACCTTTCCTACGAAGGGGAATTTGTCCTACGAGAGTAAAGCACACAATCCACTCAGCAAGGAGACAGTGTGAGGTGACTTACATGTGAATAGCTCTCCAGACACACAGACAAACCTGAAACACAGTAGGTGGAAGTTACCTCTGTGCAGTAAAAAGAAACAAACTTTTATTTATAAAGCGTCTCTATAGTTTCACTCCTTTGCTATTTCTTACAAAACACATTAATTAAGTCCACAAAAATAAAAAATTACAGAATCAGAGACAAAGCCATGTCCCTTTTACTTCTGATCACCTGAACCCTGCAGTCATTCGGTGAGGCAGAAGACAGAAGGCTGCACATGGGGGCACGGAGAAGGACTCGAACCTGCTGGGGCTGAAAACTGTTGGGCAGGGGCACAAGGACCCAGAAAGAGCAAGAGGAGCATGGTGTGGGGAGGGTGGCTACAGAGGGATTGGGAGTTGGGGACCCACAGGGGGACTGATAGAGTAAATGACCAGGAGGGGCAGTACACAGTGGCTCTAGCCTATCATCCCAGCACCCCGGAGACCAAAATAAGAGAAGAGCATGCTCTTGGGGAGCCTGGGCTGTGTTTAAAATAAAAACAAACCATCAAGCTAACTAGAACTGGGCTCCAGTCAATTACTTCTCACTGCTGCTTTAACAGGGAGTTATAGAGATGGACAGGAGGGAAGCAGAAGGAACCCAGGCTGGGAGTGGACGTGCCTTTGGGACTCACAGCTTTCACTAAGCAGACACAGAAGCAGCTGTGGATGAGGAGGCGCTGAGGGGGTCTAAGTTAAGCATAAGTCCATGGGAAGCTTCATGGAATAGTATATAAAAACACTACCTTTTTTATATAAAGATTTATTTATTCATTTTATATGCATGAGTATTTCACTTGCATGTATGTCTGTGAACCACTTGTGTGGCTGTGCTGTACTGCGTTGCCCAGCCTGGTGATTTCCTGCTCAGCTTTGAGGGTCACAGGCTTCAAACAATCTCAGTCCTTATCTGTCTGTCTCTCTTCTCCCCACTCTCTGTCTGTCTGTCTCTCTCTCTTCTCCCTACTCTGTCTGTCTGTCTGTCACTCTCTCCTTTCTACCTGTCTCTGTCTTACTATCTCTTTCTGTCTCTGTGTGTCTGTCACTGTCTATGTCTGTCTGTTTTTCTGTTTCTGTCTGTCTCTCTGTGTCAGTGTGTCTGTGTGTGTGTGTGTGTGTGTGTCTTTGCATGGCCCAGTGTGTGTGACAGTACTCAGATATTGCTAACATCCTTTCTACTGTGAGAGCCTGGGAAGGATGATATCTCCATATCCCTACACACATTTAGCACTCAAATCTTGGTTTGTTTGGGAGGTTGGGCTGCAGCACAGGTGAACCTGGACCTCACTGTAGAGCCCAGGATGGCCAACCTTCTACTTAGGTTGGGATTAGAAAGATATGAGACACTATAGCTGGCAGATTTTCCCTTGCTATACGTTTAAATAATATTTTCCCCCATCAAAAAAAAGAAGGAAAAATAAACGACTGGTACTGGAGGCTAGAGAAAAAGTGTAAACCACTTGGTAAGGCAGAAACCAAGGCGAGAAAGAAATAGAGGAGCTATGTCAAAAGAAAGAAGAACTAAGCTTGAGGAACCAACAATTGCCAGCATGGGCTACAACACAGAGAGCAGAGGAAAGGAAGAGGGAAGAAAAAGGAACAGGGAACAGAAGCCAGGTAATGACAGTGGCGAGTCCTGAAAACACCAGCTTAGGAGTGACCAAGAACAGAAGAGCAGCAGGAATAAGCCAGAACTTAGTCAAAACTCAGCCAACAGGATTTAAGAACATAGCAAGGATTCTCTCATAGTCCATCAAAAATGGAAAGACCATAAGAATCAGATAGACCCAAGCCTAGGGGCATCCCATAAAACAGCTGAACTGTAACCTTCAACAGGATCAAGGTCATGAAAGTTAAGGAAGGCCTTAAGAATGAAGGGAGAGCAGACAGAAAAAGAAGGCTACTGTGTAGTATTTCCTACTGAACTGGGTCCCTTACTAAGAAAATACATTGTTAAAAGGACCAGAGTGCTGAGGCAGGAGGAATGGGAGATAAGAAATGGTGAGGGAAGAGTGTTAGAGATGACTAGAGTGTGTTATTGACATGGACAAAACTGGCAAAAGAAAAACCAACATGCTGTACAATAAATGCGTGCTTTAAAAAAACTCCTGTTGCTGGCAGAGCTGGTGGGATCTGATGCTCAGATGGCGATGCTGAGTCGATACTGACATAGAACAGAATATCCTTGTTTATAAGAAACACACATTGGTGTGTTTGAGGTAAGAGACAGCGTTCACACCGGTAAATACAAACTGGGCAGGGGTTCACTCTAGCACTCTTGCAAACATTTTAGATTTAGAATAGCTTCTTAATAATTATTTTTAAGAATCATAAATGAGCAGAAAGTCCACTTATGAGGACATCATACTAGATGAACAAGTAAGTTAGGACTAAGCACACCAGCTCTCTCAGGAGAACCCCAAGACTCTGCTCTCTATCCCTTAGGAACTAAAACTGATATGTGGGGAAATTCCTCCCTTGAAGGCTCAGTTCTCCCACCCAGTCAGTGCATTCAGTCTGTCAAAGCCCTTCCCACATCCCTGGTCATCCAGTCAGCTCCAGTACAGGAGAACTGCCCAGCACCTCTCACAGAAAGAGAGCTGACAAGTTGCTACTCAGGCTTCTGTGGTGTGAACTAAGAGCTTGGGGAAAGGAAGAGAACACATTGGGATACAGGAAGAAAGGAGAAGGTGCCATGCCACCCAAAAGAATGACAAAGAAAAGCACTCCTTTGTTGTTTTCATGGAGGCTCTTCTAGCAACCTGCTTTCCGCCTGTGAGATCACAAAACCCCTGCAAACCAAATGACACACACACTCCCCCAATGGCCCGCTGTACCCCAAGTTGCATGCCTCAGAGATCACCCTACTTGACAGCACCTGAGATGCTTATGACAGGGAAGCGTGTGATAATGTGAGTAGTCTGTCTTCCTCATAGGAGACAGCTTCTAGCAGAGCGAGACAGTTCATCTGTCAATATTCCGAGTTCTCAAAAGAGACAGAGATGCTTGTTAATGGTCACAGAAATGAACAACTGGGTGGAAAGTATTTGGATGGTAGGATAGGTGGGTGGATGAATGAATGGATGGAGGAACAGGTAGGTACACAGATGGGCAGGGAGGTCTTTGGCTGGCCCCTGACTCTGTAGGCTTACCTGCTGCTGCTGGGCCCGGAGATCGCCTATCTCCTTCTGGTCCTCCTCCCTGAGTCGCTTCATGTCCTCCCAGGACTGCTGCAGGAGGTTCCGCTCGCGAAGCAGCTTCCCGTTCTCCCGTCTCAGCATGTCCACATCATCCTTCAGCTGAGTCTGGTCACTCAGGAGCCGGCTGTGGAGGGTGCTGAAACCCCACAGACACATTTAGTCCAGACCAATTTCTCCCCCCATACCTCATCTCCAGAAACCACTAGCCCCAGGTGCCCAAAGAGATTAAGACAATGGCCATTGGTGTCAGGTCAGCACTCAGAGGGAGGCCAAACCTAGATAACAAGTAAACTCAAAAACAAAACAAAACAAAATCTCAATCCCAATTCTGAAAGCCCAAAAGGGATACAAATATCTCCAAGGAAATGAGACAGCCCCAACCTGTGCCTATATGTCCTGGGACCTAGGGCAACACGGCAGGTAGATGGCAAATACCCTCTGAAGGAGGTCAGGAGCCCTGAGGAGAGAACGCCCAATCTGTCTGTCCCATGAGAATAGGCTGTAGTAAGGCCACCAGTCAGAGATCAGGAAGGCTTCAGGTGCCTGACCCCGCCTTGTGTTTTAAATCATTTTTTTTTCAAATCTATCAGCTTCTAAGGCTGATAAGAATGCTGGGAGGGGCTAACAGTCTCTTTCATACTTAGCAAAACTGAATTCAAGAGACACATGCCCTCTCACAGAAGGCAGGCTGCTTGTGAGCACCAGAGCCCCGGACCCTGTCTAGACACTGAGAAGGGCAGAAGGTGGCTACTCCACAGGTACTGGGGCCCTTCCCAGCACAACACTCACTGATAGAAGTCTGTCTCCTTGGCCACCTCCTCGCACCTCTTCAAGGCGTTGGTGTGCTGGTTCTGTAAACTCTGCAGGTCCGACATGGCCCGCACACACTGGATCTTAAGCCTCTCATAATCAGGATTCAGCCTGTGGTAGGGCCTGGCCCCAGGAGCAAAGAACCCCATGAACACAAGCCTCAAGGAGTCCATGAATTTAGGCTATGTCCTAGACTATCGCAGCCCAGTGGGTGCCAGGTTCTGGCTCCTATGCACTGTGGTCTCCTGGTGTTTACTAAACTTGCAATCCTGGTTTCAGGCAACAGAGTCACGGTGTCCACACGGAGGAAGCCCTGGCTTCGTGAGCTCCCTCGGAAGGCCTGGGGAATAAGGCCTTCTGCGAATTTCCCAGAGTCTATGCCAGAGGTCTGGACCCACCAGAAAGTAGAATAATATTTCTCCTGTCTTCAGCACAGGGCTTCTCAATCCTGGTGCCTATTACTACATGGATTCCCAGAGCACACAATCAGCATTTTCAGAAGGAGACCCTACATCAAGATGGCTTTAAAGACTCCCCAGGGGATTCCACTGTGATGCTAAGGTGAGCATATGGGCCAAGAGCGGTGCTGCTTAAAGTGATGCTGCAAGGCCTCAGCACTGGTATCACATGAAAACTGAGAGACAGGCAAATAGTCAGGCCCCACCCCAGAAACCTGACTCCCAGGATCTGGAGGGCAAGAAGGGAACCCTGCATCCTGCAATTCAATAGGCTCTCTAGGGAATGCTGGTACTGGTTCCATACAGAGGGCTAAGCAAACACTTCTGCAAAAGGGACTAAAACTCCCAAAATTTCTTCAAAACAAAAGACACCAGGTAAAATGTACCTTTATAAGATGCCTATATGTTAAGAACATGGAATGGATTTACAAACCACAGAAAGTTCCAGCCAACAATGTAGCAGGGTGGGGTCTTCGGGGAGACAGTATATGTGTATGTGTGTGCATGCCCGTGAGCACACAGCACACACACAAGTACAATGGGATGCAGCAGAATGAGGATACAGGGGAAAGTTTGTTGTCTCAGCACTGACGGCACAAGGACCAGGCAGCAGCAGTTAAGAACCCCAGGTCTTCCATAACCCACTAACTAGCACCCAGTGACCAGGCCCCTCCAACTGTTACCAGAAGCACCTTCACACAATCTCCTGTGAGGCAAGCACCAAGGCCAAGGGGGCTGGCCTAGCTCCTCTACCTCAGACTCAAACCACAGTAGCTACCGATTCTCAGGGTTTCCTCAAATGTATAATGGGAACATAGAGATACACACCTAAATCCCTCTTGGTGTGACTTAGGTCATAGGCTCCTATTTTCACTTGGAGAAAATATAAGACACCAGAGAAAGAGAGACAGAAACAGAGATAGAGACAATGAGTGAGAACCCTGCCCCCACCTGGGCTTAAGGTTCTGCAACTGGCTAGCATCCGGAGGACACCAGGCTTGAATAAGAGGACACCTTGGAGGTGAAGCCTCCAGAAACCATGGGGCTAAGGAAAAGTGGCTCAAGGTGACACAGTGTGTCGGGTCAGCTGTTCACTGGGGAGTTGGGACAATGACTACCTCTTGTCAAAGGTGGCTCCATGGGTGGCGAAGGCCAGGCGCTTGCGTAGCTCGTTCCTCTCACGGGTCATCAGCCGTAGCTGAATGGAGAGGTTCTCCACCTTGTCACTGATCTGCTGCTCAGTAAGGAGGGGTGGCGGGGACGGTGCCTTCCCAGTAGTCCCTGTGGATAGGTAAGCACAGAGAACATACACTCGGGCCCACTCCCAGCACTGTTCTGAAATCATGGCTTGTTCAGCTATTCATGAGGCAGTGATGAGCCGGGGGCCTTCCCAACACCCACTGCAAGGCACCAAGTGGGACCAGGCTCTGCCAGCTGCTGCAGGAACACCCACTCCTACAAAGTAGGTCTATCTCAGTCTCTTGCCACAAGTTCACACCAGGGACTAGACTATGAGGTCTTGTCCAAGGACTCTGAGCATACCCACTCTCTCCCCAGTCTGGAGTTCACATCTCTAGGATGGAATTGTTTGGGGCACTAATCCTTGCCTGCCCTGGACATGTGGGCATGCCCACTCTCACCCAGTTCTGGACACAGCAGGTGACAAAAGAGGCAGGGCAGACTACCCTGGACCTCAAGCAGAGGCCTGAGAAAGGGCACGCACTTGGAGCAAAGTGAATACTCCATCCAAGGAGCAGGGTAGCTGTCCCAAGACTGGGACCCACAAGTCATATCCCCATCTTCTTTCCCATGGCTAGACAAGCAACTCAGTCCCTACTGCAGATCCACTGCCTCTGGACCTGCCCAAGCCAGGCCAGGCAAGCAGAGGATGCTGTCGGTTCACAGCCGATGTGATGCAGGTAAACCCTGAAGCATCCATGTTTAACCCAGACCATGCTCTCATCACATGTCCCCAGGACCACAGGCATACATGTTTTACATTTTTATGAAAGGTAACAGACACTGCTGCCTCTGACCAGATCCAAATAGATCTCTAAGAATCCAAAGACAAAATACTTCTTAAGAATTAAACCATGGGGCTGGAGAGATGGCTCAGTGGTTAAGAGCATTGCCTGCTCTTCCAAAGGTCCTGAGTTCAATTCCCGGCAACCACATGGTGGCTCACAACCATCTGTGATGGGGTCTGGTGCCCTCTTCTGGCCTGCAGACATACACACAGACAGAATATTGTATGCATAATAAATAAATAAATAATAATAATAAAAAAAGAATTAAACCATGGTCCTTTTATAATTAGCCCCGCCAATATGTCCATCTGACACCTCACCTAACACTTAGAGATGGGGGTGGGGGTCAGAGGAGCTCATAGCACCATCTCATTTTGTAGATGTCATCAGAAAGGCTGACATCCTGGGGGCATGGCACTTGTCTCCCCAGTGGACCCAGACATGCAAAGAGCATGACATTCACCTTCAATTTATGAGGCCCTGCCCAACCTCTTCAGATCCTTGCTGTCTGATGGTTCATAGAAACCAATGTCAATTAAATGAAAAGTGAGCCTTGTACCTTCCAGCGGCTTCAGATAAGACAGGGAGGTCCATGTAGTTGAAGAACTGAATTTGCCATGGGATGGGGTGGGAAGCCTCAAGCTATTATTACCCCAGCATTTGTCAGCATCCCACGAGAAAGTAACCCAACCCCTGAACCTAATACTCCTAAAACATATTCATCCTGATTGACTATGAATTTGAGTGGATCTGAAGTAAACTAAGAGACATGCCTCTAGATAGGTCTGGAAGAGCATTTCCAGGGAGGATTAGCTGAGCAGAGAATACCTGCCCCACCCCAGTGGACTGTAGCTCAGAGACAAAGAGATGTGGAGGTGGGGAGCAGAGCTGCTGTGGTGGCCTGCCTGCCTTTGATTCTTACTGGTACTACATCACCCTATCAGAACTCAGCTTCTTTGGCCTTCCAACATGAACTAAAGGCCAGTGGCTATCCAGGACTCCCCCGGGCCTTCAGCCAGTTCAGGGCTACTAAGGCATCCATCCATCTTTGTGAATGGAGCAGCATCTGGTCTCAGGGACTCGGTGGGAGGACCGGAGCCAACTGGCCACCCAGACACAACAGTGAGGGCTGACATCTAGGGTATACAGCTAAGGTGTTCAATTCTGTACCACGCCCCCATCCTCATCTCATTAGTCCCCCAAACTGCTCAATGACAACCACAAACCAGACAGTAACATATGAGCCCCCACAGACTCAGCTCTGAGCTGAGATCCAGGTCTCCACTACTACACTTTCCAATGGGACTGGACTCCTCTCATCTCTCCACTCCACTCTCACCTCTACCATCTTCTCCATCACCCATAACAAACACACAAACACACAGGGAACATAACAGGCCAAGGTCAACCAGATCTGGGACCCGTGTGAGCAGAAGCCTCTCTGACTTAGCTCTCATAACTACAGCAATTCCTAACAGAGCCCTCAAGACAAATCCTAAGTTGTGAAAAGCCAGGACGATCTAAAACAAACTAAGTTATGTGGGAAATCCTCTCAATTGCCACTCAAGTGAAAACAGTTTTCAGGGACTGGGAAGACAACTCAGTCATATACTACCTTCTTAACAAATACGAGGACCTGAGTTTGACTCTCCATAAGCCTTATGAAATTGCCAAACACAGTAGCATACTTTGGTAATACCAGTGCTGAGGAAGCTGAGGCAGGAGGATTCCTGGGGCTAGCTGGCCAGATGGTCTAGACTGACAAGCTCCAGGCCAGCACACGCCTTTAATCCCAGCACTCGGGAGGCAGAGGCAGGCGGATCTCTGTGAGTTCGAGACCAGCCTGGTCTACAGAGCTAGTGCCAGGACAGGCTCCAAAGCCACAGAGAAACCCTGTCTCGAAAAACCAAAAAAAAAAACAAAACAAAAACAAAAACAAAACAGACAAAACATGGGCTTATATGTAGTTCAGTTGGGAGAGTACTAGCCTAGCACACAGGGAGCCCTGCATTCAGTCCCCACACTAGCATACACTGGGTATGCTGCTGTACACCTGTAAGCCCTAGCACTAATGAAGTGGAGACAAGAGGGTAAGATGTTCAAGGATATTTTTTGTCTCCAAGGTGAGTTCACAACCAGCCTGGGACACATGAGACACTTGTAGGGGTTAGTGTTTACTGTCAGCTTGACAAAAACTGGAATCACATGGGAAGAGGGAACCTCAACTGAAGACTTGTCTTGATCAGATTGGCCTCTGTCATGTCTGTGGGGAAATCAATTATTGATTGATGGAGAAGGGCCCAGCCCACTGTTGAGAGACTATTCCTTAGGCAGGTATGAAAAAGCCAGCTAGCAGCAAAGGGGCAAGCACTATGTAGCATTCCTCCAGGCCCTTGTCTCTGCGCCTGCTTGAGTTCGTGTCTGACTTCCCTCAGTGACTGAAGGTTACCCAGAAGTGCGAGTCCAGTACAACCTTTCCTCCCCAGGTTCCTTTTGGTCCTGGTGTTTATCACAGCAGCAGAGAGCAACCTAGGATAACGCTGTCTCAGAAACAAAATCGAAAGCCTCTGCCTCCAATCCTCACCTTCCGATGCCTTCTCTGTTGGACACAACTTGCTTTTTTCCACTGTTTCATCTTGAGGAGATGAAGCAGAAATGTGGACAGGATCCCTCTACTCTAAGGACCTTGTTTTTACCTTTCCTAAGGTCTACAAATGAAGACAAATAGAAGTGGGTATCCACTTGTCCTTACAGGCACCCCCACCCTGCTGTACCTATGGCGTGCTCTGCCTCTCACTGGACAACACTGAGGCAACAGGAACTGTCTAACTACAGGTGGTGAGCCTTGCTCACCCAAGCACGGTGGGCTAACTACAGGTGGTGAGCCCTAACCTAGTTTCCAATGGCCATATGCTCAGGAATCTGCACCCCTGCTGAGTAACCAAGCATGTTAGCACAGGGTCCAGGCCACAGGTGTAGGGACAAACTAGTGACTCTGTTGCCCTCAATGAGAGGGCATCTTCCTTGCCCAAGGCCTCTGGGGAAAGTGCCTTTGATCACATTAAGGGACTGGTTGTCTACTTGATCTCAATTGTCCCCTGTAACATCTCAGATGGAAACCCCTGATCACAGATAGCTACAGAATCAATTATATAAGACTCGTGTAATTGAGGAACTAGAAATTGCACTTCATTTTAAGGCATTTAAATGTGAATAGCCACCTGGTAGTAACTCCATTATTGGCCCTCACAGCCCTGGGTGCTGTCGGGTCTGGCTATGAAGGCTAAACTGCTGTTGTAGGCAGCTTGCCATGTGCCGGAGGGGTAGAGCCCCAGCCTCGTGGACCCAGTCTGATCATAGCCGTGCCTGTTATATGAGGTCACACATTTCCTTACTGCTTAAGGGAGTGGGTGTGGAGAAGAAGAGGAAGAAAAGCAAACCTTGGTTCCTGTGAGTTTGAGAGGATTGACCACAGAAACACAACCAGCTCTTGTGTGAAAGAACTGGGCACAGCCAGTGCAGGCTGAGCTTGCAATGGGACATACATCAAAGATTTATTCTCAGACTGCTCATGATTCTCAAGAAGCATCTGAGGACACTGCTGATCCTCAGCACAAGGGCTAACTTGCCTTCAAGTTCAGCCCATTGAGCTAGGCATGATGCCTGTAATCCCTGTTCAGAAAGAATTTGTAACTGGCCCATGCGACAGAGAGACCTCGCCAGGAAAACACAAACCCCATCTTCCTGCTCATGCGCAAATGCCGACATAAGCAGCAAATGCTTCAAGAGGCAGAGCCTCTCTCTGGAGCCCCTGTGAAATCATACATGCTCCTAGGACAGGTGGCACCACCAGTCCAGAGTGACAGTGTGAGTGTGTCTACTATATCCACTAGATGAGACGGGCGGCAGGACACAGGGAACAGAAGCTTCACCTCACCGGTCCTGTTCCCGAAGAGCCACACCCGTAGTCAGACTGGTGTGTCCTTCTTGAGCTCTAGATGCCATGAGAGCTAAAAATGTGCTCGTTTCAGATATGAAGTCCTGATCCAGGAAAAGGAGAATGTGAACCTTACTTATAAATACAGCGTTTTACAGATGAGCAACTTGAGGGCACAGTGGAACAAGACACGTCGTGAGCCTGCTGTGGTCAGTGTCCTCAGCAATCATATACACACAGAAAGAGGCAGAGAGAGGAGCTGTGGGGATGATGGGGTGATCCATAAAGAACTCTAACGTGAGAATTGCTGTCCTGAACCTTTGAGAGCACATGGCCTTGCCAAATCTCTGATTTTGGACTTCTGACCCCCAGAACTGTGAGACACGTTCCCGTGGCCAACGTCCCAGGCTGTGAGACATCACTAAGGTAACCCAGGAACACACACGCAGCTCATTCTTGGCACCTGCTTGCCTCTGATCACACTGGCCCCCCATGCTCTAAGAAGGTTTTTTAGTCTCCTACCCTGAGATCCAGCTGCCAAGGTAGCACTACCTGCCCTACACATACTTCACGCCTGGTATGAAGCGTTCAGAAAGTGGGCAGTCCAGTGGGATGTCAACCCTAGCTGGATGGGAAATTAAGTCATGCGGCTCCCCTCGGAGGGTGCCAAGTTTCCCATCTCTCTGTAGCAGGAACGCACAATGACTGGACCAAATGACCTCTGTGAGCTTTCACAGGGCAAAGGTCACACACAGAAGCGTGGGAAGGCTAGAAAGTCACCTGGCCTTCCTGCCAGCACAAGTCCAGAGAGCGGAGACAGGGCTGGTTTCATTCTCCTAGGCTCAGGGAAACATCCATTTCAGCATGGAGTAGCTACTTTGCCAGGGCAACACACTGCCCCTGTTGCAGAAGACAAGCATGAGGGGTCAATCTCAAAAGGAAGCTTTCGGGGGACTGACCAGATTCCCAGAGTAGGTACTCCATGGGTGATAAAGTAAAGAAACACGCTTCCCCCACCCACCTCTAACACCAAAGCCTGACTTTTGTTGATCAGAGAAAATGAGAATGTCATCAACCTCACATGTAATCAGATGGCAGAACCGATGTCCCGTGCCATGGAAACCCCACCCCTGTCCCCAACTTACCCACACTGCTGAGGGAGCTGCTGCTCTCCGAGTCTGAGGGCATGATGGACAGGACACTGTAGGTGGAGCCTGGGGACACAAAGGGAGACCAATATGTTACTACCCAGAAGGGCCACTAGTCCACAGCCCAAGCTCTCTCACATCATTTCGCTGTACCAAGGCTGGGAACCTGGATTCCAGGTCCACAGGGAGGTGTGGTAGGCAGTATCTGGACTTGGCTCGTTTTGTTCACCTTTCTTTTTCACACACCCCGCTGCTCTAGATCTGATCAATGGGTAGAGGAAGTCCAGTCTGCCAGCTGCCTCCTGTCCCACATGACCACCTGAGTTTCAATCCCCAGAATGCATCGTGGAAGAAAGAAGCATCTCCACCAAGCTGTCCTCTGACCTACACACACAAGCATTCTCTCTCTCTCTCTCTCTCTCTCTCTCTCTCTCTCTCTCTCACACACACACACACACACACACACACACTAATAACAATAATAATTATTAGTAAAAACATGGCCATAGAGATGGCTCAAAAGGTAAGGGTGCTTGCCACCAACCCTGATGACCTGAGTCAATCCCCAGGTCCTATACTGGTATTTCATTTGTATTTTAATAAACAAAGCTAGCTTGAAGATCAGAGAGTAAAACAGCCCCACTTATAGACCAGGCAGTGGTAACACACACCTCTAATCTCAGTAGCCACACTAGTTTGCCAGGCAGTAGGGGTGCATACCTTTAATCACGGCAATAGGGAAGAATATAAGAAAGGAGGAGACAGCTCTCAGACAGTCTCATTCTCAGATTCCTGGAGGCAAGGTCACCATTTCCGGCTGAGGTAGAGGTAAGGGCCAGTGCTGGCTGTTTTGCTTTTCTGACCTTCAGACTGATCCCCAATATCTGTCTCTTGGTTTTTTTTTTTCTTTAAAGATTTGTTTGTTTGTTTATGTATACAGTGTTCTGCCTGCATGTATGCTGCAGGCCAGAAGAGGGCACCAGATCTCATTGTTGATGGTTGCTGGGACTTGAACTCAGGACCTCTGGAAGAGCAGCCAGTGCTCTTAACCTCTGAGCCATCATCTCTCCAACACCTGTCCCTAGGTTATTAGATGTGCTACGAGGTCCCACATGGTGAAAGAAAAAAAAATGCCCTCCCCAAACACACAGAATAAATGTAATATGATTTTTTAATAATAAAGAATCAACTCAAAAACTTATGAACAATTATAATGTCACCAGACAGTGAGTAGCACATTTTGTTTGGTGCCCACACACACCATGAGAGAGGACAGGAGCACCGGGAGTGAGTAGGAAAATGTCATTAATTTACTGTGTGCATACCACCATCAAAACCAAAAAAATACTTAGTTTCAAATAATGCCAGGTGCAACCTGCCAACCTCAGGAACCAGCCTACTACGGACTCAAATACTGGGTGGGCAGCACTCAGTATGCTAAGAAAAGCACCTGGCCTGCTGGATCCTGATTCCAGCCTGTGTAAAGAAGAGGTTCGGTCCCACATAAGGCCCCTTGCATCAGTGACATTTCAAACTAAGAAGTAAAAAATAAGTGTATATTTGGCTCTCTAAAGTCAAAACTGATACGAAATTAAAGGCAAAACAATTCCACTGGGAGAATACACTGTGGGGGTGTTGGGGGGTTGCAGAAAAGAATGCCAGGCAGAGGTGGCAAAGACAGGTATGAGGAGGAATGTTTTGTTCCCAGAACCAGGTGGGTGAGCACAGGTAGGATTCTGCTGTAAGGGCTCTGAACAAGCCTTAAGGCTCTGATGTGAGAAAGTTGCTGAGAATTACCCAGAGGCAAAAGGGGACAGATTCAGAAATTTCTCTTCCCTTCTTCCACCTCTTTTCCTAGGTCCCCAAGACCAATGTTATCATAGATGGAAAAAAGTAGAGACAGAAAAAGATGCAGTAGTAAAGGGGGCATAAACAGGGAAGGGAAATGGGGAGGGACACTTGGGCAGCAGGCATAGTGAGGAAACCTCCAGAGGACCAAAGAGCATCTCAGAGGACAGAGGAGACTGAGTAGGGGATGAGGCCCGCCTATGAAGATGAGAGGCATCAAATACAAAGGCCTGGAAAGGAGCTAGCTGGCCTGCTTGTCAGACATCAGACAAGGAGATGAAGAGGGAGGGAAAACAGGACAACATATATATGCTGAGGGTGGAAAGAACAAGCCAGTGGCCAGCAATGACCAGTGGCCTCATCACTGCATTTTCTAGGACCTGGAGGAGTCTGGAGTTGAGCAGGAAGGAGTGGGTAGGTGTCTGGTCTTCTAAAAGGACCTAAGAGGTTGAAATGTGTCCTCTGGCATCGCCACAGCAGCTGGTGACGTTGTCTGCAGAGAGAAGGCAGCAGGGGGACCGAGTGCTCTCCTGGCATGACTGTCACAGGGCCATCTGTACATCATTTGCGGGACACTAGAACCAAAAATATTCCACCTATCTCGGAAATTCCACGACCCAGCTGAAAATGAAGAAGCCATGTTCAGGCTCCCATATTTCAAGCCCATCTACCCTAGTAACCCTAGCCTAGAACAACTGACTAAAGCTGACCTTGAACTCCCAAAAGCTGACCTTGAACTCCCAGAAGCTGACCTTGAACTCCCAGTCCTCAGGACTGCTCCCAAGTGCACAACCACACCCTGTCTATGCAGTGCTGGGGACTGAAGCCAGAGTTCTTGTGCATACTGGGGCAACTGAGCTGTACTCCCAGCTCTACAACAGGGTTTTGCTGTGCATTTTGAATCTGTGCACTTCTGCATTAGAAAAAAGTACATTGCAAATTTTTCTTACTTTCTTTTTATTTTTAGTTGGAATATTGATTACACATATTTATGGTGTGCAATGTGATATTTCAACACACACAGAGACATGTTACATATTGATCATCAACATTGCAGGGGATGTCCTTCACCTCTCATAGTTCCCATTTCTTTTTTATATAATTTTTCTATTTTGAGATTATAATAAAATCACATCATTCCCCTCTCCTTTCCTCCCATCAAACTCTCCCATGTTCCCTCATACACCTTGCTCTCAATTCAAGGTTTCTTTTTCTTTACTTGTTACATATGTGTGTTTGTGTGTGTATACTGCACAAATAAAACTTGCTCCGTCAATATGTGATGTGGGAGTAAGTGATGTAGGAGTGTCATATATCAATCTGTTGATTTCATTGGTTAAGCAATAAAGAAATTGCATGGCTGCCCCTGATAGGTTAAAACATAGGTGGAAGGAGTAAACAGAATAGGATGCTGGGAGGAAGAGGAAGTGAGGTCAGACTCTGCTCTGCTCCCCAACAGAACCGACAGCTCTGCTCTCTGGAGCAGAGACACCATGCTCCGCTCTCCCAGGTAGACTCAGCAGCTCTGCTCTCTGGAGCAGAGACTCCAGGCTCCACTCTCCCAGGCACCTCCAACCAAGGATGGACTTAGGCTAGAATCTTCCTGGTAAGCGTACCTTGGGGTGCTTACACACATTATTACAAATGGGCTAATCCAGGTGCGAGAGTTAGCCGAGAAAAGGCTAGATAGATATAATGGGCAAGCAGTGTTTAAAAGAATACAGTTTGTGTGTTGTTATTTTAAGCATAAGCTAGCAGGCAGCTGGGGTGCTGGGGACACAGCCCCGCGGCTCCTATTGCAACAAATATGTTACTGATATGTAAATTTTAAATCCTCTCCTTTACTGTATGGTATCCTTGATGTCAGACACAACCAGGACATCCATAGATAGCTGCAAAGAACAAGACTCTAACAACCATGCTCTGATTCAAAACTAAGGAGCCATCTTTTTAGATTCTGTCTTTTTTCCTCTATGGGGACCAGGAAGGCTAGCCGGCCACTATATGGTAGATTGTTTGGAAATGATACCTCCTTGGGAAAGCCAGCACAAATAAATGCACCCAGTCACACCCTCATAAATCTATGTTCAACTCAATCCAGCCTGGAGTTTCAGCTTGTGCTCTAAAGTCACCACTGCCAGAATGCAACACTTGCTTCCTTCTCTTACGTGCATCCACAGTGTCCCATCTTCCAGTAAAGCAGTTCCCATCCCGCAAACACACACACACATCGCCTCCTCCCCACGGCAAATTTCCACTGCTAATTACGGTTGGCAGATGCCCTTCGTCCTCCCTAGCTGGGGGAGTACATTTCACATTTCTGCAAACAATACATTCTGTTCCTCTTCCCTGCCCCCAAAGTCCTGACTAGGCTGTGTGGCCTGCCTGGGGCAGAGTGACTTCTTTATTTGCATCTCTGGGCATCATCCCGACCCCTCATCACAGACAGCTGGCAGGGCTTCTTGCCCTGGCAAGGCTGGTGGGTGTGAGGAGTAACTGATAAAGACTAAACAGGGCACTGTTTTAACAACGTCCTCAGAGCCTTGGATATCATAAGAGGAAAGGACCCGAAGATGACACTGTCTGAATAGTGTTTTGTCTTTATAACTATTGTCTTCAAGGCCCTGTCAACAGAAGGCAGGGAAGTTAGTCCCCTCCCCCGAACTGGTCAGCTACACAGTGTCCTTTCAAAGCTGATAACTTCCTGAGGAGTAATTGTCAGGTGTCATTTCCCTCTGGGGTTTCATAATCAAACCTGAAGATCACCAGGAGTCCCACCTCAGTCCAGCATACTTAGATGTCCCTGTCTAGCTCCTCCATCTGCAGTAGCCATAAGAATGTGACAATTGTTTGAGGCCCGGAAGGGACTGCCAAAGCTACCTGCACTGTAACGCACCCTAAAAAGCGTCTGTGGAGGGGGAACACTCACTACCCAGAAGCCCAGGCCACTGAACACCACAGAATTAGCCCAGCTTTCCTCAACATTTGCGACCCAAGGGCCAGCCTGTGAGATCCTAAGCAACTTAAAGAAACCTAAATGGCACACATGGAAACATTCCCACAGAAGACAAGCTTCAGATGGATGTGTGAGCTTGAGAGTCATCTATGTAGGTTCTCTACCATAGGAGGAATTGCTTGGGGAGCTGGTTAAAGGGTAGATGAAGGTAGGACCTGAGATTGCATTGCTAGGAAGCGCCAGGACATGTGGCCACAGAGTA